ATTATGATGACTTTCTTCCTAAAAGTTAGCTATAAATAATAATGAAACGAAAATTCAGATATTGAATATTGACATTGATGCATATGATACATTGATGTTGATACATATGATGTGTTAATAGAAATTAGAAGTCTTTGAAGGGAAAGATTTGATATCATATGTGCCTCTGAGTGCAAAAATGATATGTCTCAGAATGTGCTAGTGAATGTCATATATGATCCCTGGGCAGAGAGCTCTGTCCCCGAAGGCTGCTCATTTTCTGTAAGGGAATGGCCACTTTTTCATATTTGAAAATTATATCAAATGAATTATTATATAATACATATAATTTTTATCTTTCATAGTTATATCAAAAGTTAATGAGCCCAGCTTCATTTCAAAGCTATGTGTGGAGTTTCTAAAGTAATAGCTCCTGGGGATTAAGGTAACATATATGTTTGAAAAGTTTGATAACCTGCAAAAGTTTTAGCATAGGTATTAGTTTAAGATTGAAAAGATTTTCTAATTAATATGATTTAAGGTACAAAGGTATATTATTTGAAAGGTGTTTTTTTTTCTGTCTGACGTTGCATTAGTAGACTTGATTAGATATGATTAGATATTTTTTCCTGGAGATCTTTACATGCAAATTATATTCATGCTTTTTAAGATTGTTTTGCACTGTTATTTCCAAAAATTGTGAAACTGGTTTAAGTAGATGCTTTTTTTTCCCCTGCTTCCTTCTTTGCCAGCATCTCCAATATTATTGTAAGTGTTGGTGTGTATGTACACACACATACACACACACACACACACACACACACACACACACACACGTTCAGAATGTGGCCTCACAGTGGTTAATTTACTGACCCAATACATTGGGTGATTTTAAGTCATATCTTTTTCCTCTTAATGTTTTATTGATCATTATTTAATTAGTCTTTGCATTTTTTCCTAGTTGATGACACTGTGTATTTCTGCAACGCAAAGTATTCTGTCCTTTTAACACACAAACTTTTTCTAATTTCCAGAGCCATAACCATTCATCTGCTTGACATTTTCACTTCAGTGTCTAAATTTCAAGAATAGGTCTTTCTAGCCCCATGTCTCATCCTTTCTCCCCATCATCTGCATCACTGAACATACTCTTTGACTTTGTTCATGGATATTTTCATGTTTCACTTTTTTGTTGTTGTTGTTTTGTTTTATTGAGACAGGGTTTCTCTGTGATGCCCTGGCTTTCATGGAACACTTTCCTTAGACGAGGCTGGCCTTGAACTCATAGAGATCTGCCTGCCTCAGCCTCCTGAGGGCTAAGATTAAAAACATGAGCCACCACCCACTTGCACATTTTCACTTTTTAAGTTGAATTTAGAGAATAAATTGAGGGCCCTATTTTCACATCAAAAATTGAATTTTTCAGATAAAAATTTTTACTAACCAGAACTAAAAATTGTTTTAGTGCATGTGTGCCAAAATGGATGTGGAGAGACTCTGTTAATAATAATAATAGGCATTTTTATTTAACCTGTGAATATTGTAAATAGCCCTTTTTCTATAAACATAACTTTAGTAAAATTAGATTATTTTAAAGCAGCAGGACTATCCTAAATTATTCTTACTTTTAAAATAGATTTCTCTGCCATATTGTATCATTTTACAACTTCTCTGGTTCCCTGTAGTTGACTCTAATGGCTTTCCTTTTGGTATAACTGTCTACAGTTCTTGTCATCTCGGAGTAACAGTAGTAGTTTCAAGATAGAAAGCTTGCCCTGTTTCCTTCTCCTCTTTCCACCTGCACCTCACAATCAGTGATGCAGTGTGACTTTAAAGAATGCTTAAAAAGCAAAGCAAAGTTAAATGAGAAGTACAGTAACCTTTCTTTGCTTTGCTTTTAGAAATTTTGTGGAAACTTGTTCATTTCTGTCTCCTCCCAGAGCCACACAAAAGGGGTTCACTGTCCACCTCACTATCTTAGCTTATAGACAGTAGAGAAAATTAAGTGTGGGAAAGAAAAAAAATAAGGTACAACACCCATAGTACTTGTAGAGATACCTACTCATATGTATCAGGTATAGTTTGAGTTTAAAATGCAAAGCTTGAAACAAAAAGGAGCGGCATTCACAGTACAATTCCTCTTCTAGTCAGTATTAACTGGTCCCTCTCACCATTTAATCAAATAGCACTTAGTCCTAGACCTCTGAAATTAATCTGACTACATTTCCATGGCTAAACTAGGCTAGCCCCTAGCTTTAGAAACTAGGAAACTATAAAATATGGTGGAAAATAAGACTTTAATAAATGAACATGTAGGAATAAGGTATAAGTTATATATTTAATTGCCAATGTGACAGTATTGGATGTATAAGTGACGAAAAACTGTTAGTGTTGGCTTCAGAAATGTTTTGAGAAGATTCAAACATCACTGTACTTAACTTATGAATACTTCAGCATATGCATGGTGTAAATGGAAATTTTAGAATTTGAGTATGATAAAAAAAATTACTTCTAATTTAAGATACCAAAGTCAGAGACTAGAAATATACAGTTAAGAATGCATACTGTTTTTGCAAAGCTCATGGGCTCAGTTCCCAGCACCTCCAAGAAGTCTTAAAATTGGAATTCCAGCTCCAGGAGATATGATGCCCTCACCACAATGTGCATGGTACAATTACAGACATGCAAGCAAAATACACACATAAAATAAATCCATCTTTTTTCAATTAAGAAATAATGAATCCAATGTTAGAGGTTTTTTTGTACATACACATAAATATCTCTCTGTGTGGCAAGCCATATTTTAAATAGTATTCTTGTACAAATGTATCCTTTGTTTTTTTTTCTCTGATGGTTACCCATGTGAAACTTAAATGAGGTACAAATAGGAACAGTAAAGTCAGATAAAATGAAGACCTGCAGGAAGATGTCTTTTTGTGTTAACATCTGATTAGAAGAAATAACATAATGAGGACTGTAGGAACAATGACACTATAGGGTGTGAGGTTTGAATATTTTTATGGGTACAGTTAAACTGCTTGTGTGGTAACATTAGACTACAGCAAGTGAAAGCACACACATTGACGGAAGTCAGTGTAAAGAAGGAGAAAAAACAGTCAGCAGGAAGACAGGGGAGATCAAAGGCAAAGCCAGATGGACAATAAGAATGGGATATACTTAGAAACTCACAGCAAAAAATGTGGAGTAAGTGAGGGTTTCAATGACTTCTTCAAAGATGGTGATACCAAGAGAGGAGATGCTAGAGATGATGAAGCTGCCAAGACAAGTTGGGGAAGTCTACTTGGTGACCCAGTAGTTCAGTACAGATTCTTATGAGGAGAAGTTAGGAAGGATTTTAATAAGTTTTTCATGTGTGATAAAACTTAATGTTTGTTCTAATTCGTCTTTCAAACAGGATATGGTAGAATTAGGGTTAGCATTATAATTATAATTTTTTAAGATAAATAATTTTCAGGGGGAAAAGTCTACTAAGACTAATAATAACTGTTAAAAATTCTTCTACTATCATCCATAAAATAATTCGACTTAGTTGGCAACTTTGAATATATTTGTCATCCATAAGAAGTGGTTTTGTATTTGGATTTTTTAGATTTCAATAATTAAATACAAATTATTTTCATGAAAGAATTAATAAAATAGAGTGAGACAATATTTTATATGTACAAAGTAAATCCAAAGCATGTGTAAGATGTATAAATACACTCATATGTGTCCAGTCTGGAACATAGATTTATAAGTTCACTGCCTGTTACCACAAGAGCAGAATGACCAGACCTCACAGACTGCCTTTAAAATATCCCTATCAGATCTGTGTCATAATGGTAGCATTGGAGATACTTACTAAAAATTAGCTAATGAAGTTCAGAAAATCTCAGCTACAAAAACTAAACTTGCACTCAGCTTTTAGAGTGCTTTAGCCTCTTTCTAAGCTGCCCCACACAGAGGACAAACAGTTACTTCAGTGCCCTGTCAGTGACTTCAGTCTAGTTTGAAGTGCCCAGGGAGGGGGCATAGATAGATATGTGGATGTCAACAAGTCCAAGGTCAAGGTCAATATCTAGCTTATGAGTTTTAGGGCTTATGGACATATCACACCCATATATTTGTACACCATGTTATTGTCATGAAGTAAGTCTAGGTGTGCTGAAACTTGTAACTGCACACTCAGTATAAATTATGAAAATGATCACACTGGAAAATGCTCAGTGACTACAGTATTCTCTCCTCAGCACTTCATGATAGGGTACCAAGAACTACAACTAAATATAATTGTGTCTTCTAAAACAGCAAATCACACCATCATCCAGGTGATACAACTTTCAAATCCCCTTATGAAACATTTTAGATAATTTTTACTAATTTGGTGGCCAATTTTTATAAGGCAAATGACTATGTATCCTATTGAAAAAATAAAATACTATTAATAATTTTACTGATTCTTACCTCAAAGAATAGCAGTAAAACAAATAAGATATTAGTGAGTAACCCCAAAACAACTAGGTATTAAGGAACATGAAATTAATGTTTTGAAAGGTTTAAATGGGTATTTTCTAATGCTGTCTTCGTTAACTTTGCTTTCATAATTCTGCACTGCCTGTTCATGTTTCTCAGAGCAAAGAGTTTCTTTAAGATGCCATGGATGAAGAACCAATAGCCATAAGTTTTGAGCTATATGAAACATTACCATTTATGTACATTTATAAGTCCTTCTGTTTTGACGTGCTGATTTCTCATAGACTGTATTGCAAATGCAGAGATTCAAGGAACTTTTTGTTTAACAGTTTTGACTTGAAGATGGCTTTTTCCTTTGAAAACTCTCATTGTACAAGGTAGTTTTATTAAAATATGATAAAAGTCACTTTAAGGTTGTGATATTTCCATCTTAATAAATTATGTTTACACTAATTATTTATTATTGTACTTTTTCTAGGATAGCAAAGTAATATGATGTATGTGCACAAAACAGAAGTATTATTTATACGTATTTTTTTTAATTACAG